GGGCGGGCAGCGCGGGGCGGGCGGGAGCGGGGCCCGGGCGGGGGCTGCCGGAGCATTACGTGGACAGGTGCAAGGAGAGGCAGGAGGGAAGAAGGAGAAAGGGCGTTACCTGAGGGTTAGACCTGCCCAGACACACATGAAAGACAAAAACTGAAGATCTGACAGTTTTACTCCCTGTTTCTGAAACGCTAATAAAATGTACATGCATTACCCTTTCCTTTTATCACTTCAGCTACAAGGAGGGGAATTTCTAAAGAAATTGGCATAGTCAGGGAGGTGTTTTCCCCTCTGCAAATCCTCCCTTGTATTTAATTTATCATTAACATGACATGAAACTGATCTATAGCATTTGGATATCAATCTAGTATCTTGAAAACATAAATGGGCAGGCCCTTGGTTTGGGGTAAATATCTTCAAAACCTGCAGAGAAGAAGAAAGACTAAGAGATGGCTCACCTAATCAATCCTCTGGTATTTTGTATTGGGCCTATCACCAAAGACTCTGAGTGCCATAAATTAGCAGTAATATCGTCTCTGAAATATCTCAGTTGTGTTTCTACACTGGTTTGAATCAATTTAGGACTTTGCTATCCTGTTCCAGATGAGCATAGGCATGTTTTAATCCCAAAAGTACAGCAGTTCCTGCATGCAATTGTATTGTTGGAATACATGTTCATTATTAGCAAAGGTAGAACACTGGCAGATTAAAACTCAGAGCTTGGCTTTTGCCTTCTCTGCTACTTCTTCTGTCAAAGTCCAGTGAATTTTAGGGCTCAAACTACATGACCCGTCTTAGCATTGAAGACACACGATGTAGTTCCTTGCCGATGTTAAAACATGGTAGTAGAGTATAAAATGCAAAGTTCTTTCATAGTTAATTCTTTCAAAATCTTGAGAGAACCACTTGGCAGTTTAAGGTTTCACTTAAACAAAAAAGTTGCAGAGAATCATGAGAGATTAGTTCTCCCATCTTGCTCCATGGTCTTTTCAGTCAAAATCTAAATCTGAGAGATCAAATGGATTTGACAGTTTAGCTTTATTTGCTCCGGAGAGTATAGGGCTAATTAATTGGCAGGTGCTTTAAAGCAGGTAATGCTACACCTTTTCATCATTGCAGTCCTAAGTACTGCCCCTGTGTGCACCTGAATTATAAAAAGGCTGCTTTAAAGCAGGTGATTTACTGTGGAGGGATTTAAAACTGAAAAAAACTAATGCTAAATACAATGATCAGATAAATCACCTAAGAGGAGAGCACAGGCAGACCTGCTCTGAAGGCAGTTACAGATAGATGTTATATTATTTTACCTTTCAGATAACAGGAGTTTGTCATGTGGTGGGACCCAAAAATCCACCATAATCGAGATTTCAAAGCACATCTGTGTAAACATTATCACATCAGTGTAAAACATCAACCAATGAGCTTTCTCTTTGAACCAAATCTTCTTAATTGCAGTGCTAAATCAAAGAAATAGATCAAAGTTGAATAATCTATATGGCACCTATTCCTCAAGTAGCCTGTACACTGATTACTCAAATATACCTAAAACGTTTGAAACACGCATCAAATATTTTTACTGACATGACTGACAGGTCAAGATCAAACTGTTTACCACAGCTGCTAAGTTACAGGACATGCACTAGGACAGCACAGCTAAATGAAGGAGATATATTCTTCTAAGTTTAAAGATGCTGCAGCAAGGATGATATTGCCAGTTTCAAGCACGAGTGTCTGAGTCCGATGAACAGCAGAGGGCTCTTCTGGTGAGATGGTACCACTGTCCCCTGTAGATCAAGGACGGGGGCCTTATTAAAAAAAATCCTCAGTCATCACACACTGGAAGACCCTTATGGCCAAATCTTTCCTGTTACATAATGGAAACATTTAAAGTAGAGCGGAATATGTAACGCCCGTCTTTTCCGAGTGGAGTCTTTAATGTTTGGGCAGTAAACCGGATATGCTGTTCTATGAAGTACCAGAAAAGAAACAAAAAGATAAGAATTTTTTTTGTTGTTTGCACTAGTCATGTGACAGGAAAAGATAACACTAAAGATTTTTTTTTTCTCCTTCTGAGGCTATACCATGGGAAGTTAAATAATTTTGAAGAGTGTTTTTACAAGAGTACATAATTCAACTTAAAGTATACAGTACAATCTAATCAACTCTACGTATACTTCCTAGAGACTGTACTTTCAGTGTCATACAAATACATGTGGTTGAGTTTTTATTTCCATAGCAAGCAGTTTGGGCTTCTACAGACAATATAATTACTGTATATTTCCTAAAAATAACATATTTTCATAGACAAAACTTGCTGGCTACCAAGGGAGAAGAGAAAGCAATGGACTGAAATCTTTTATAATAGTCTATATACATACATACAGGTGCCTATATATAAAGAGGTAGATAGATATACCTCTGCTATGAAGACAGGCTGAGAGTGTTGGGGCTGCTCAGCCTACAGAAGAGAAGGCTCAAGGGAGACCTTATAGCAGCCTTGCAGTACGTGAAGGGGCCTGCACGAAAGCTAGGGAGGGGCTTTTCATCAGAGAAGACAGTGATAGGACAAGGGGTAATGGTTTTAAACTGAGAGAGGGGAGATTTAGCTTAGATATTAGGAAGAAATTATTAGGTAGTGAGGAACTGGAGTAGGTTGCCCAGGGAGGCTGTGAAAGCCCCCTCCCTAGAGGTGTTCAAGGCCAGGTTGGATGAGGCTTGTGCAGCCTGGTCTCGTGTGAGCTGTCTCTGCTCATGGAAGGGAGGTTGGGACCTGATGGATCTTTAAAGTCCCTTCCAACCTTAATGATTCTATGATTTTGTGATTCTATAAAGAGAGAGAAATCTATATAATCTGCCTGTAGCCTATATATGTATTTGTAGAGAGAGAGATCTATGTATATAGTATATATCAGATCAAGCTGGTGAATAAGAAAAAAAAACAAACAAAAAAAAAAGGTTGTTAGATGTAAAACTTTATGTCCTGTCATTTATTGCACCTTTATTAATTTTAGAACTCTCTTACAACAGTGCTGTGCCAGCCATAAAATTTTAATGACATAATAAAATACTGGCCAGGAGAACAAAGCGCGGGTTCATGAATCCATGAGAAGGCAAACATGAGGTGGAACAAACACAACTGAATAGAACATAAAGGAGTATGTCCAGATGGAGATACATGTGTATCATGGTAATTTCCAGATTATTCCTAGATTTGGACCAGAAAACATGGTTGGCTGCTTTCAACAAGATGAGCAGAAGATGCAGATGTTACAGGAAGAGCCTTTCTGAGCACTGCAAGTCTGAGTAAAATGAGGTGTATTCTTGTGTAGGATTCACTAGAAGAAAGAGAATAATTTTCAAGGCTGCATGTACAAATCAGATAATCATTTGATGATATAAAGCCTTTTCAATGCAATACTTACAGACTTTAAAAGCATTCAGGACTTTTCTCTCTGAACACATCCAGTTACAGGTATGTATGCATGTAAGCTTACATGTATATATAAAAGCATCTACCTATTTTCAAAAACTTGGGTGAGGGGAAAGTAATGATGAAAAAAAAATTCCTATAGAAAGGAAGTTCTACCTTCATTTTTTTGGTATTATTTCTAGAAAAGAATACAGAAATTCATAGGGCTTTTTTTTTTTTTTTTCATTTTTTTTTTGCCCATGTTTTTGTGGACACATATGAGTAACTCCTGTATAAGCAGAATGGGACAGAGAAGTTAAGTAGTGAGCCCATATTTACATCCAGTTACATCCAGTGAGAATAGACCTTTTCCACATATATCAACATTCAAATACCTCATTTGGAAGCTTTTTTTATTAGTTCTGTAAGTGGATTATTGGATAAAACCCACCTTATTTAAATTACATGGTTTCTGAATCTGCACACATAAGATGTGGAGACAGCTTAGGATTTTGACTTGCTGCACAAATAAATTGCCCTCTTGTTCCTAAGCAAACACCTCGCAAGGGAAGTTTTGACTAATGTACCCCAGGTGTAAGTAGTTACAGATGTGTATTGGATTTTTTGAAGTGAAAAAAAGATTAGCCTAAAGGTGTTATTGAAAAGTCATTAAAATGTGCCTAACCAATTTCAGGGAAACAACGTGAACAGGGAGATAACTCATGGTTCATGTCTACACTTTGGGTGACTGATGAGTCATCCAGCAAACAGGTTTACCTTGGGACACTACATTGACAAAAAGTGGTTTCTTTTCCAATCAAATGGAAAAACTAGACTATTTTTAAAAGATAATTGTATTGTCGAACGATGTCTCCTAATGAGTCAGCTAGTGCTGACAAGATCCGAGAGCCATGTTCTACAAGATTTTTTTGACTGGATGTTTAGCCATGTAACTGCAAAAGAAATACTTGAGTTTCAGTCATGCTAAACATGTGAAACCATTGTCTTGTCATCAAAATATTGCCCTTTCTATTGGCCTTTTGTCATTTAATACAGAGATGTAGCTCACATTTGAAGACTTTATTGGGAAACATTTATATAGCATATTTACAAATAAAGCAGTACACATTAAAAAATGAACAAGAAAAATGTTAGCTTTTAAACAGATGGGAATAATGAACTCAAGTGAATTACTTGAAGGATGAATTCTAGAATAATGAAAGGAATGCAGTAACACTATCATTCAACCCAGATACCTGCCTTTCCAGACCTAACTCTGAGATAATTCAACCTTGGTCACGCTTAGGGTTGTATGAGCTGTCAGATTGTCAACTGACCAACATGGCCACAGTTCTCCCTTGACATTATAGCCAATGAGAAGTTCCTTAGAAATTAAAAATGCATGAGAATGTCTTAAAATGAGCTACAATTTTCTGAAACCTTGCTCATAATAATATACAAAGTAATAAAAGATTTAGCAGAGAAAAAAAACCCCAACAAGATTGACTGAAATTTGGGAAGAATGTATATAAATAAAGAAGAAAAACATTGAGGTTGCACCTGACCATTGCAAAAAAAATGCCATAAGGTGTGCTGTGTCTTGAAATGTTTGTGTGCAGCTTATGAAGCTTCAAGGTAACATGGGTGGTGATGCAGGTTGTACCCTGAATGCTATCAGCACCAGGTGGGGACAAAAGAACGTGCTCATCTTTAACAACTGGTCTTTATCTAGTGCTTGGTTAGGATAAGGAGGCTGCCTGCAGGAAAGAATATTTATCAGAGGTAACACTGCTGACATGGCAAGTGCCTGTGGTTTCCCAATGAGGAGGACTCATAACACAATATAAAAGGGTAGGAGATACCAGAGTCTGGGGTTATTTTGGAAGGAAAGGAACAGCAAATGCGATCAAAACAGGGGCCTGCAGAATCTGTCTTCTCTGGGAACCTGAGGTGCAGAGAGAGGTACTGGAGGGAAAGGTCAGACCTGGGAACCTGGGGAAGGCAGAAGTTTCCAGCCTATGGGTATTTAGGGAATTAAGTATTTAAATTAGAGTCTCAACGCAGCACTGCAGTAAACAATTACAAAGAAGTAACATTATCTAGATCAGCCCAAGAATGGTAAAGGACAGCATTGCACTCTGTTGTAAGTTGTTTAGCTCCCTGTTTCATTTCTGAAAACTGTTCCTCATGGGACTAAGTTCTACCTATGGACACTTTACAGCACCTTAGTCAGCGAGACTATTGTCAATTTTCAATAAATTTTTACATCAGCTATTTAATATGCCAAATGTTGGTATCACAGGCACCACTGCTTGACTTCAGTGTACCTGAAACTATGGTTACCTATGAAACTCATGGTTTTAGTTTCATGCTGTATATTGAACATGCACCAAGAGTTATCAAGGCTTTGAAAAGTGGTTGGGACATTAACAGGTTTTACAGAACTGATGGAGTCACAGAAATCGTAATTCCAGTAAGGGTAACTATGATCAATGGTGCTTCTAATAAAGCCTTAGCAGCAAAAGTGAGCAGCCTTCATCCTGCAGCCACCTCCAGCCTGCAGGGTTCCCAGGCAAATGAGCTAAGGTTGGAAGCTCTTCCTTCCCCTAAGTTAAAGCTCCCAGACTCCTGCAAAGATGTGCTAGAAGGTGCAGACACACTGCCCTGGGACCAAGACTACGAGACAACAGGGCTAGGGCCCGGAGCTCGGTACAGAGCATACACGGCCCGGGGCGGCGAGGACCCCGGGGGCGGCGCGGCGGGGCCGGTGGCGCCGGGCGGGGACTGGAGGGGCCTCTCGCTTCCCCACCCCTTCCCCGCTTCTCGCGAGGCTTCTGCCGGCCCCCCGGG